GTATACATGTATGAGATTTTTAAAAGAATGTTGTATTTAAAATTCTAATTACCTAAGAGTGTTTCTAAATTCTTTCATTATTGACTTCCTCTTCCAAAGATGTACTTGTATCCTATTTATAAAAATATTTATGCTTTCAAGAAGAAAAAATCTAAGATTTTTTTCATTCCTTAAATTCATCATTAAGCAATTATTGCATGTTGTGCCTGCCAATCCTGGTTGAGAAAGCGTGTTCTAACAATTTGGAAGCTGGTATAGAGCAGACCTAACTTTACCATTTCTATAACCTCCACTCCAACAAAACCACTACATTTCCAAAGGTAACTGCAAGAGATTATTTTCTCTACATGGTTTGGCTGATGAATATTTTAGCTTTTAAAATGTGTGAAGGTGATAATATTCTGTGTAAATCATAGTTCACATGGACTTATCTTAGTCTGGGCTATTGAGGGGCATTAGGTAGAGCAGTGGACTGACTATAGCTCTGTCAGTCATGTAATCCCAAGGGTCAACTGGTCCTAAACTGTGATACTCAGTATATTACAAAAAATTTTTATCAGTGATATTTTCAACTTAAGGTCTCTTTCAACTTAAATCCATGGAAAGTAACATCATTGTTAAGTCACAGGACGTCTTTATTTAGAATGAATAAATTCTTTCACTTCAAAGCATTTGTTGAATGGGTACTACTTCCCAGGCAAGATTTTAGAAATGGAATGTCTAGTGGTGAAGAAAATAGCCCAAAGCCATACACCCCATCAAGCCCACATTCTCATGCAGTCTTTGTATTACCTAATACCATTTCCTGCTTGGTTCAAATCTAATTCATGCCTACCATTAAAACTGCTTCAGGAAGAGATTGCCATGCAAGTGCTTACTAAAATAGCACTTGGCTTCACTTCAAGACTTGAATGTGCTGACAGCATTAAAACCTGGCTGATGCTGATGCAGCAAGAAGATCACCGGAGCAAGACAGCACACTTCCTTAAAACCACATCATACCACTCCATAGCTCCCAGCCCTCAAGGCCAGCATCCAGGTTCACCTTCCTTGGGAGTGTCCAGATGTCTTGATAACTGGCCAAACACCAGAGCCTGCCCTGTATTGATTTAGCTAAGAGAATTAGGGTCATACTCATGTATATAGTCCCTTGACATTGAGGGTTCTCTCCCACTCTTGAGTGAGGGAATTTGCCCAGGTGACACTGGCTTTTTGGCTGTCCTGTGACTTCAAGAAACTGAAATTTTACTGTTTGAACAGGAGAGAAATCAGTGGGGCTTTTAAAATACATACTATATATATTTAGTAATAAATGTCTCTTTACATCTAATTAGGAAGACAGTTAGGCTTCCGGTCTGTCCTGTATCTACTATCTTAGCCCCACCCTCAACTGCTTATTGTACTTAAAGGTATAGCTATTTCGAATGAATCTGATGCCAAGATAGTATTGATGAATCTTTGACAGTCCCTGGAGGAGACTCTCTAAAGGTGAGAAGACATTTATTTTACCCCTGGACTGCAGAGACCAACCATGTTACATTATTTAAACAACTTACAGACATAGAGAGCAGGAAGGAGACTAGAAAACTAAAGCTATGATACATAAGCATGTGAGGAACCTCTAAGAAGAACTGGGAAATTGGGAAGGTTGTGGTGTGTTTGCAGCCTTGAGAGACATAGAGATAAAAGCTACTACTGTAAGGGTTTAGCCTCTTGTTTGGACAGATTTGTCTTTCTTGGTTTTTGCTTATTTCCTCTGTCTTTGTTCTTCTTTGATTTCTATTTTCCCCTCCATTGCAAGTTCTACTAATACCAGTGAGACACATACATGTCTGCCAGCCTATTGACTCTCTCACAGGGTTTGAATGCCTCATCTGGGGCTGTATTGGCAGAGCTGTGTCTATAAATGCCAGAAGTAAGAATAGCAGGAATGTGGACCATAGAGCAGCACGGTGGTTCTCTAAGATTTGTTCTCATCCATAGGCTAACTCATGTTTATAAAAAGGGATGGGGAAAATGCCCATTGCCAATCTTGTCGCAGTACTGAATGTATTAAGATACACTGCTGATGGCTATGTCTGTAATAGAAAGCTATGTGGGAGTCTGAGATCTTGGGTGTCAGTGAAATAGGCTGGAGAGAATATGTGACGTCATTAAAGCAAGGAGGCTGTGCACAGGGCTGTGTGAGAGGCCCACCCAGAATTAACAGGAGCTCACTGAGATTTCAGTTTTAAAATGTTACTAGGAAACAGAGAGTGATAAAAATCAAAGCATGTGCATAGTTTACAAATCTGTAAAACAAAGGAAGACTTTTTAAATGGCATGAAAGAGATCAAGAGTACACAGAGACAGTGAAATTGACTGTCATTGTAGGTAGGTGGCATGACAACACACATCAGCGTTCCAATGACTGAAGCCCCATCATTTATTCTTTGCTGGCAGACTATGCTTCAAGGATTTTCGGAGATGGCAAAATTTCTGTTTTTATTAGTTATAATGTCAGGTTGGAGTGATTTGGGGGTTCTGAAGTTGTATTATATTTACTCTTCACTAAATCTAGCAAAATAACTGAGAGACACAGAGAGTTTTGTGGCATTCTGGCTGGCCTAAAACTCAGTATATATGGAAGAGGACCTTGAACTCCTGATCTTTCTACCTCCACTTCAGTCTTCTGAACCAATGATTAAAGAAGGAAATCCCAAATTCTATTATGTTTCCTTGTAAAATATAATAACTTAAGGCAAGTAAATAATAAATGAATTGAAAGTTTTCCCATTTGAATATTCTATCTAATAAATTAAGAATTTAATGGAACCAGCTTATTTATTGTCTGTGGCTCCTTCTAACAGAGATCAGCAATAGCAAGGATGCTATGCACCTCTTGGTAGAAAAATGTCCACGTGGCAAACAAAGTTTTTTCCCATCCCAAAGATAGCCACACCCTGTTCTCAGAACCAATGAAGTCAATACTGTTCTTAGTTAAGGGGAGTTAAAGTTGAAGATAGAATTGTATGAGCAGATGATCATAGAAGAGCAGTTACAAACCCAAGAAATCACAGAACGTTGATCTATTGTCAGAGTGCTTAGTGGTTATTCAACTGGCCATTACTAAGTTTGGGAGTGGAAAGAGGTCATGAATACAGGGCTGGGGGAAGCCTGAAGAAGCTAGACAACAGGATCCTCATTCAGTATTCTCAAAGGAACCCGCCCTTAGTCCCATGAGCCCTTAGGCAGGATGATGGGAGATGTCATTCTGTACATATGTTTCTCTTATTTGTTAAAGAATAAAGCACTGTTGGCAAATAGGATGGCAAGATAGGTGGAACTATGAGACAAGGAGGATTCTGGGAGAGATAGTAGAGAAACTCAAGATGTAGAGACTTGAGAAAAGAGGTCCAGACATCTCTCCGGTAAGATAAGACTATGTGGAAACACTTAAATTAATAGAAATTGGTTAATATTTAAGACAGTTAGCCAATAAGAAATGCTAGTAACTGGCCAACAGCTTTATATTGAATACAGCATCTCTGTGTGTTATTTGGGGCTGACACGGCTCTGGGACCACACTGGTGGGAAAAACTGCTGGTAACAAAATAGTGCCCAACATGGTGCTTCAACCCATAACCCTGAGATTATGAGTCTCATGCTCTACCAACTGCACTTGTCCCACTGACCATTCCCATTGGGGTTTGGGCAGGGGCAGACATGATGTGAATATCTCATTGCAGCAGAATTATAACATTAAGTATTATGAGCTACAAAATTTGCATTGTTTAATACTAATGAGTTTATGGCCTGTGGTTCATTAAAATGATAGAAAACAAATATAGCTCATTTCTCAAAATATACTCTGGATATGGTCTTTCTAGAATACTCAGTCTGAGACTGGTCAAGGCTTCTGATGTAAATGACAATTTACAGAAAACACAGCAGCAGTCATAGAAACCTATTTGAGATGATAAGGCACAGAAAGAGAAAGGGCATTGTATTTTATCAAAATAAAGTGAAATACAGAGAGGGGGAGGGAAGGTATGAGAATGAATGCATTCAGAAACCTCATTGTAGGGGAAAATATAGGTAAGTGATTTATTACATAAATACTGCTTGGAGGCTGTAGGAAATTACCTAGTATTTTGTCTATCAACTGATAACAGTAGAAAATGTCATTCAAATAGGCAAATTATTAGAGAGAAAATATCAGTGAGGTATAACAATTACTATGGATATTTGCTATTAACATAAGAATGACTGTTAGGATTTGATATCTTATGGCTTATATTAAGAAATGATTGTCAGGAGGGATTATAATCATATATGATATTTAGATTACTTTTAGGCAAGGGGGGAGGGAGAATGTAGGTGGGCATGATGGGTAGCAATAACTATAAATGGAAACATATTGAAGATGGGTGGTAAGTACACAGATGATGCTGAAATATTCTACCTTTGACTATATTTTAGCTTTGATAGAGCAAATACTCTTTAAAGTGCTAGTCACTGATTAGGCTGCTCAAATATTTGAGGAGCCAAACAAATTGTATGCAAACTCTCAATTTGACCACAAGCTGTTGGTGTGAAATCTTGGCAAGAAATTTTGGAAATAGGATCATTCACTTTCACTTAAAGAATCATCCTTTTCACCCCTCCTGTTTCCTTTGCTCTGTGCAGCCCTGGGATGAGGGCCTCTTCTTTCTGTGTAAGTTGCTGCCTCAGGGGGATTCTCAGAATAGAATTTGCTTGGAATAGGTGAGCAAAAAGAATAATATGCATAATTGTATTGAACAATGCCTCCTGGTATTTTATGTTTGTTTGGATTCCCCTCATCTCACTCATGCAAATATTATGAGGGAGAGGGAGAGGGTAAGGGAGAGGGAGAGAGAAAGAAAGAGAGAGGGAAGAAGAAGAAGGCAGCAATAACTGTTTCGGTTTTTGACAGCCTGGGGTATTTTGAAATGTTAGCTCATCACATTTTCCCTGTTGTGTCTGTGTGTCTATTTCAGGATGGAATGGGGAACTTAAGAATCACAGAAAAGGGTCTGAAGCTAGAAGGAGACTCAGAATTCTTACAACCTCTCTACGCCAAAGAAATCCAGTCCCGACCAGTAAGTTTCTGATGAGAAAGAAAGCAACTGATGCTCTGAGATCTAAATTTGAAGAAATTACCTTGCTAGCCACTGAGATGGTAGAGTGAGATGGTGGGCAAATTGGCAGTCGAACCTGAAGACTTAGGTAACATTCATGTCTGTGGTGCTGTAGATAAGAGTATCCCACCATGCCCCTTACCTTTGTGGCATGGATGGTCAAGTAATCACCGTTTACCAGCTTCTATATGATTTAATGAACTAGGAGATAATAAACATAGGAAAACCCTGTAACTAAACCTGTGAAGGGCGATATTACTATTATTTTTTAATTGTTAACCATTTCAAAGTCATGTGTGGAAAGAGTACTAATGAATCAGAACTTTGGTTTTCATTTACAGCTTATATTTTGTAGCCCATACTGTTTAGAATCAGTTCATTATCAGCACCTGTGACCTATAATTGTATTTATGACAGCCTGGCTTTCATGCATAATAGGCATTTCATTTAATTCAAATATTGTCATTGTGATAGAAACCAATGCTACTCCATTTTACAGATTGGTGAATTAAGCCATTGATGAATAAAACATCCAGAATAAATTTAAAAAAAAAAAAAAAAACACAAAAAAACAGAGCAAAGATTTCAATTCCAGAAATCTAATCCTAAATCTTTTCTTTTTTAACTAATCTCTTGCATAAGGTTTTCACTTTTCTTTCTTATAGTAATCTTCATGATTCCAAAATGATGTACCTTCATTAGTCTTGGTTAATGATGTTTATAGTTTTTGGTTGGTTAGGATTATGGTCTGTGTGAGAACTGTCTACCACAGTCTAATGTGTCACCTGCTCGGTTTTCAGTTGCCAATGCTTTCTTGGTAGGTTGTAAAATAGTTGGGAAGTAGAGGTTTAATGGAGGAAGTGTGCCACTGATGAAGGGCCTTCAATTTTGTAGCCCTGACACTCTGTACTTCACGACCGTTAGACATGTGAGCAAGCAGCATCACACTTGTTCCCTCACGGTTTCCAGCTACTGCCATACCCACCACAGACTGTTAAAATGTGAGGCAAAATAAACCTTCTCCCACCCCTATGCCACTTCTTGTCAGATATTTGATCACAACGATGAGAAAGCTAATACCCATCACTTTGTTATGTAGGCTTTAACTTACTTATTTTGTGAAGAAGCAGAGCTCATTGGTTGAAAATGTTATTAAATCCTTCACTTTGCATATTAAATCCTTCACTTTGCTTCACTGTCCACAAGAAAGCCAAGACTGACTAGAAGGTTCCTCACATCATCATTATATAAGACACATCGGTTGACATAATTAATGAAATCCAGCAACTGGTTGTAGCAGCTCATTTTATATGAGAGCCATATGAAGTCCAGGGCTGTAATAGATTGTATCTAACTCATTATGTTAAGTCCCTCTACTTGTAGAAACACTTCATTCCTATCACAGCTACAATGCAACACAAAGCCCTCCAGCAAGGTCTGTCAAAATCCTTTCAAAATTCTTTTTAGGAAATGTGTGCATGTGTATGCTACATACATGACCACACATGAAAAATCTCAGGACAATAAAATTGATGAACATATCCACCACCACTAAGAGTCTCTCTGTGTCCCCATCAAACCATTTTGCCATCCCCTGCTTCCAAGACACCATTGATGTCTCTCCTTAACTCTGTCATTACTTTGCATTTCTCTGACCTTCATAGACCTAGAGTCATATATGGTATTCATGAAAAAAAAAAAGCCCTTAAGCATAAAATATCTTTGACTTTCCCTGAAGTTTTATTTTTTTCCTTAAAATCATCTATTTACTATCTAACTTACAAAAGTTTTGTCTTTTCCTGTAACTAGGCTATCTTGGTTTGCTGGAAAGAGATATGAGATTGTGGTTCAAGGGAACAGACTTTTACATTTCTATCTTGGAGAACATTGAGAGACACAAGAGGGAAATAAGGAGTTGTTTGCTATGACGTGGAAGTTCTATCTCTTTGGAATGTTATAAGGGAAAACATGTGTGTTGACAGAAAATGATAAGGGAAAGATTATCAGAACTTTAGGGCTAGTCTATAGATCCTCCTCTGTCCCGGTAGAGATTATGGTATGCAAACAACTATAGTTCTGCTGTCAAGGAAGATGGAAATGATGATAGCTGGGTACCACTGACCTCTAGCCCTCAGTGATGCCTCTCATGTTCCAACAATAGTACTCAGAAGTTTTCTGTTCTCCTCTTTAATTCCACCATGCATCACCACTGCTGTGTTTCATGGGCATCTCCTTCTGCTCTTCGACATTAGAAGGACATTAGAAGACTCAAGCCCAGTTGACTAAGATCGAGAGCCATGCTAAATGGGGTTGAGTAATGAAGAGATAATTGTCTTCAGTTTAGTTTCACTGATCTGAGAACTGAGATAAACCATGCACACAGTTTAATACTGTATCTGATTTCATTAGTGAATGCTGGAGTCCTGGTAAAAAGCACTACAGTTATGATTAGGATTAGTGTGGTGGCAATCACCTAAGAAGACAAATTTATAAACGTGAGTGATATCAGCAAACATTAATTCCTGAATTACTAAGACATATCTAAGCCGAGTATTCAAAGACCCTGAGAGTTGAATGCCATTCTCCCCTCCCTGAATGGTTGGGGAAGTAATGGCTAGTAAAGGAGCTAGGACGTACTTGCTCCAGCAGCTCAAAAAGACATAAACTTCATGACTTCAAGTCCCAAAGGTGTTACTACTGACCTGAACTTCAGTTTTCCCCATCATACCAGCTAGGTGGTTTCCTACTCAATAGGGATAGCTGGGGATTTCCTACTCAATAGGGATTTCCTACTCAATAGGGATAGTGGGCTGGAACATACCACTGAACTCTTGAGAGGAATGAAGGTGCTAGGAAATCAACCCCCAAATAATGAGTGGTGCAGAAAATTGAGGTAGAAGATATTGGATCTATTCACTGAAGAGACAATCTCTACTTAGTAAGTTTCTTGTCAATGCAGGTGCATTTTAAGGAACCCACCTTCCACAGTGTTCACTAAAGGGAACACCTAACCATTATGAATCTCATTTCCCACAGGCACTTGACAGAGCTGCTATTTTCCTTTTCAGATAGGCAAGAATGACAATTTCACATTTTTCTGAAATATCCACATTTGTTCATTTCATTTAATCAAGAGAAGAAATCTGACCCTCACAAAGCACAGAGGTTCTAGCAAAGCTGGCTGATGTTTCTGAGGATAGATCTGGGCAGCACTCTCTCCTCACTGTGTTTGATAGTCTGCCAGTCTCAGTCATGGTGGTCCATATCCAGTCATTGCAGGCATTTGCATTTTGTGTCATTGATGTCCCTGGCACTATGTTTCTTTGCCCTAAACCCTTGATTTACAGAATTGCAAGTGTACACCCTCATCAAGGAGTCAATATATTAGGCTATAATTTTACCTTTCAAGAAAGAGGGAATACTTATTTTATAAACCAGTGGGCTTTAAATAAGTATTAATATTCATTACTCTTTATGGTTTGCTTCTTATTTTTGCTCTCTTATACCTAAGTTTTCCATTGTCATCCAGTTCTTGTCCCCCATCTCAGCTTTTACTGATACATAACTGACTAATACAATTGTACATATTAGAGGCATAAATCACTAATAATGTTCCGACATGAATTGTGAAGTGACCACTACAAACAAGACATTGTCACAATCCTTTTCAGTTGTCATGCAGATTTTCCTAAGCTGACTTCAAATGAATAATGCATACTAATAACTTCAGAGCATCCATGGTATACATTAAACTGAGACTAATTTAGATGATAACCAAAGCTCAGGATCCAATGAGTACAGTCTGCACTTCACCTACCCCACCACCTATCCCTAATGACTACCCTTCTATTCACTGTCTCTGTGAGTTCAGCATTTCTAGTTTCTGCATTGCACTGAGATCATGTGGTATTTGCCTTTTTCTGCAATTTCACTTAGTTTAGGTTCTTCTGTGTTGTTACAACTGAGAGAGTTTCATTCATAGGCCTCAGTCATCTTCTACTGTGTAGACATTCACACATTTTCTTCATCCAGTCATCTATTAGTGTATTCTTAGATTGACTCCATGTCTTGGCTCTTGAGTAATCTTGAAATAAACTCAGAGTACTGACACCTCTTTGCTGTAAAGAATGTTTTCACTGGCTATATATTTTCAGAGCTAGTCACTATGTCATGTGAGAGTTATTTTTGTTTTCTGAGGGGTGTGCTGCATAGGTTCTCATCTCAGTAGGTACCCACCTTCCAGCAGCATGTAAGAATTTTATTTTCTGTACATATTTATCAGCACATACTGTCTTTCTTCTTTTTGCTAATGAACCTCTAACAGATATGAGATGATATCTCCTACTTTTCATTTGCATTTCACCAATTGTTAATAATATTCCCAAGAGCACTCTTAACAAACCTGTCTTCCATTGGCATGCCTCTTTTATGGGGAAAAAGTGACTTCTCGGGTCCTTTGCCTTTTCTTAAACAAAATACTATTCTTGGTATAAAGTCCTGTGCACTCTTTATATATGTTTATTTCAGTTCCTTGTTAGATGCAGCATGTTTTGCAGATGTTTTCTCTCCCTGGAGATGGTTCCTCACTTGGGTGACAAAATGCCTTTGCATTCAGAAGCATTTGTGTGTATTTCTTTATATTTGCTTTTGGTGCCTTTTGTTTTGGTTCTTATAAAAAGATGAAAAATATAGGAATGATCAACCTCTCCCTTTTTTCTGTTAGCCATTTTATCAGTTTAGGTCTTATATTTGTGTTTTAGTTCATTTTTGAGTATCTGGTAAAATTAAGATTCCATCTTTCCTTGCTTGTCTTCTTTCTCTCTACCTTCACATGCAAATGTATAAGTACAGTTTTCTCAGTACCACTTACTAAAAGGGCTGTTCTCTCCCCCATCATAATTCTTGATTCTTAAAATAGAGAGCAGTCGACTGTATGGGAGTGGGGTTGTTTCTGGACATTC